CATATTCGTCATCTATTTTATCAATAGCATCATTATCATCAATATCATCTTCAACATCGTTATCATCTTCATCTTCAACATCGTCATCATCTTCATCTTCAACATCACCATCATCATCACCATCATCATCATCATCATCATCATCATCATCATCATCACCATCACCATTGTCATCGTTTTCATTTAATCATCATGATACCCATAAGAGTCATCACTACACTATTATGTTCATCGTTCTTTGTTTAATCCGATATTATGAAGGTCCGGGTTCACATTTCAATAAGACAACTAATGTATTTGTATGTTTCTATTACCTGACGATTAATGCAGTAGATTTTTTTCTTCTATGTCATGAGCATGTCTTCGGGATACGAAATCGTCAGTAATAATGAATTTGCCTCAGCACTTTATAAACAATAAACAAGACACACAATTCCAATGTATTATACATACCCACGAGGCAATTACTAAACAATTGACGAAAGTACAGACCAATGAGTCCAGATAAGATTCAACCTCTGTTTTAAGAAGGTTATGGTTTAATCTCGGACGCGTTTGACACGTGCTGAATCGATACAATATCCCCTCAAAGCGGTGGGTGAATTACAGAAGCACGGCTTGGCTACCACTTCATAGCATGTATAATTCTTTTTGAGTCGATATTGATTTGATTTGGCTTTATGAAAACTAACAAAAGATTGCAAAATGAGGCAGCAACAGTTGTCTGATGGTCTTTTTGACGATTCACTTGACGTATGTGTGGGGTGTGGGTGTATGTGTACATGCATTTACATACATCCTGGTACTATCATTGTAGCATTTATATAGTGATATTATTATTATCAGGGAGCTTTTTCGTTGTGTTTTTAATTATAGACTGTAGCAGTGAAATACTTCTAACAGTTGTAGACAACCCGGTATCTACACCTGTCTATATCAAATCATGAGGAGAAAAAATGTTTTAATATAAAAAAATATATATACATATGTAGTGTATGGTACATATAGAGTAAATAATATTGTATTTTTAATATGATGAAATTAATGTAAATAATCTAAATTTGCATTTGTATGTGATGCTGAGCCCAATGAAAGAAAGGTACTCTGCATTAGATAGGCCCCAGCTTAGCAAGGAGGATAACATTGGGCGCCTTTTGTACTGTGTATAATGCGCTTCATTAACTATTGATATTATTAAATTAATTACTATTATTTGTTGTAATCGTTATAATTATTGCTATTATTTTATTAAATTAATTTCTCAGTATTTGTTTTATGCTGTAACAATAAATCCAATTTGAGTGGAATGATTCGATTGTATAACACATTTAAATGGGCACATTGATTACATACATCCTGGTACTATATTGTAGCATTTATATAGTGCTATCATTATCAGGAAGCTTTTCGTTGTGTTTTTAATTATAGACTGTAGCAGTGAAATACTTCTAACAGTTCTAGGCAACCCGGTATCTAGACCAGTCTATATAAAATCACGAGCAAACAAAAAGTTTTTAATATAAAAAAATACATATACATATGTAATATATGGTACATATAGAGTAAATTATATTATATTTTTAGTATAATATTTAGGATGATAATATTATTTAATTAATTACTATTATTTGTTGTAATCGTTATGATTATTGTTGTTATTTTATTAAATAAATTCCTCAGTGTTTGTTTTATGCTTTAAATCCAATTTGGGTGAATGATTCGATTGTATCATAACAGATTTAAATAGACACATTGATTACTTCAAGAATTACGCAAAGGGATATCTGAATGGCCAAAAATTATAATTTATATATAACTATATATTAATATAAAACCCAATCAGATAAAAAGTTCATATAAAGTTCAAACTAACTTAGATAGGCATCAACAAAAACAGTTTCAATTTTAGATATTGTCAACAGAGAACATGTTCCTAAGCTAAGACGTCTTGTTTCAATTCCGAAATGGGGCTGAATACCGCATACAGTATTTAAAAAAATATAGGTAATGAGTTTCATGGTACGATTAAAACAACCAATTAATGTTAAATGATGGAGATTGTTCACATGTAAAGGGCCTTTACTATCGCGAATTGACTGTCTCATCGTCATTGTTGTCTTGCATCATTTGTCCCTCGATCCCTTCTATCTATCCATCGCCATCACGTGATAATAATTGGTGGTCACGTGACGATAATTGACGAAATGATAATAATCCCATCATCTTTATTAAGCGGTCTCTCCACATCAATGTTCACGCTAATCAATTACAGAGGTATTGTTATCAGAAAAAAAGATTGATTAAAGAGGCAAGAAATATCAGCGCCGGAGAACAACAATTCGAATAGCTTTTTTGATTTTCGTGTTCAAAGACTTGGACTTATTAAAGCCTCTTATTGTCTACCCGCCAATGTAATTAAACGGTTGTTCTGGTCGTTTCTGTAGAGATGTCGACATGACATAGTTGTTTCTATGGCAGTAAAATCGTACTGGTAGTGTCTATAGTGAATTACGTTTCTATTGTATTGTGAAAGTGTCCTGGACGTGTAAGGGCTTATAGACGATATATATATATATATATATATATATATATATATATATATACACCTATATCCATGATACATACACCGTGTCACACAATACTAGTAAGAAAATGTCTACTTAGTCTTACTGTTGCTCAGTTACTCTAATGTATCATTAAGCACTCAGCTAATGATAGTGTTTTCATACCTTTTATTATTATTATATATATAAACAAATAGGCAAATGATAATAATAATAATAATAATAATAATAATAGTAATAATAATAATAATATGTTATATTTTATATAGCGCTTAATGCCAACAAGGCCTCTAAGCGCTTCACATTACTACCCCTAGACGCCTATGGAACACAAACTGTTCCATAAAGTTGCAGCAGCTACATCAGCACATTTTGGCATTTAAAATTTATACTCCTGGGTGGAGAGAAGCAATGTAGATAAAGTGCCTTGCCCAAGGACACAAGCGAAATGCACAGCGACGGGATTGAAACCCCGACCTCGAGCTCGAGGTTGGGAAACCAAACCGTTCCAACCACTGCGCCAAACCACTCGAATAGGAATATGTTGTAATAATCGTATTAAATAGTGTACTTGAGCTATTATAGCTCATCTTTATTTCAGTCTCTGGCGGGATTCGAACCTGCAACCTCTCGCTAACAGTGCGAGTATCAATCCAATTACACCACGGAGACCTATATGTTAAACTTGCAGATCTAACCCCTTTATTCTCTTTCATACAACTGACTGAAAGGCTCACACATAGTGGAGCTGTGGTTAAGCTAATAAAGTGTGTATGTCGAAGCATGATGGGCTATGCTTAATACGATTATTACAATATGTTCCTTTTTGAGCACTGTTATTATTTATCTGTTTGTTTATGTTGTGTTTATGTATATATATATATATATATTTATATATAATAAATATAGGCATATGTATCATAAAATAAGCTGCATAGGCAGAGTGACAGGATAAAATCAAAATCAACACGATTGTATTCAGCCTCTGTAGAAATGTGTTTGACACATGTTTCGGGCAAAGCTGATTAGTGGCTATGCTCAAAACATGTATCAACTGTATGCATATCAGCATAAATATACATATAATATACGCATAAACATATGTATGTATATATACATATATATAATATATGTTATATATATATTATATATACATAATATATAATATATATATTATATATATATAATATGTCTATCAATGATAATAAAATCCAACTAAACAATATTCTAATTCAGTAAAAGCTCGCAAGGCCTAATAATAAGTAACTGTTCTTCTGATTGAAATACTCAGATTGATATAAAAACTATAGTAAATAAGAGAAAAATTGTGTAACAAAACAATTATAATATATTTCTTAGCAATTTTATAAAAAAAACATAAAAAATATAGTAAAAATAAAAATAAAAATAAAAAAAATATAGTAGGAATTAATTATAAATATTAATGTCGCTAATACTATTAATATTGGTCACTAGCATTATTATTTAAATATCATCAGTAATTTGATATTATTATAATCGATAATATTGCTTACATTTCTGTTTTATTATTGTCTGCAGGGTAGTTTTGTTTATGGTTCTGTCTTTTCTCATATTATATCGGCAAGTAGGGCTGTGTTCGCAAAAATCGATGTCATTTAACTTGTTTTTTCTCAAAGTTAACATTGACATTTTCAGTCTTTGAATAGTGCCCGGTGGGCTATTAGAGAATCTCAAACACTCACGTGATATTTTTGCGTACATTATAGACACTACATAGTTGCGGACGTAAGGTTACGCATACAGGGCGGATAGGTGCTGAATCACACCAAATCACAGGACAATGGTTTCAAGCGATTTTATTATGTTTTTATTATCTAAACGTATGGAATCGTTTAGTCTTTATCTGCTTACATTTATCTGTTTGATATTCGAGGAGCAAACTACAATACTGTGTAACAGTAATGACTATTCAGGAACGTAAAATGTTTATAAACACTAAAAATACTGTATTCATTTACTACCTACAGTTTACTTTTTGAATTGAAGATATATATATATATATATATATATATATATATAATATATATATAATATTCAAATTACACACACACACATATATATACATATTTCTATATACATATACACACACATATGTATATATGTATACATAAGCCTATATATATGTGTGTATATATATGTAGGCCTATATGTATATGTATGTATATATATGTACATATATATGTATATATGTGTGTATGTGTATATATTTATACATATATATATATGTATATATGTATATATCTATATGTGTGTATGTTTGTGTATATCGCTTGATTAGTCTTTTTTTTTCTTTCTGCCGATTACACTTCTGTAGTCGATTTTTCAAATGTACGATAATGCTGTTGAACTCAAAGTTAGGTTAATCAACATAAATTTAGTATTATTTTCACGTACCTGTACCCTAGACTCGGTTAGCCCAACTCGCATCGCTATCTCCTCACGCATAAATATATCAGGATAATGCGTTTTGGCGAAATTTCGTTCAAGTTCGTTCAACTGCGCCGGGGTAAAACGTGTTCTATGCCGCTTCTGTTTCAACGGTTTCTCGTCCTCTGTCGTCGATACTCTGGTGACAACGGAGCCATTATGATGATCGGTTGAGCTCGGCTTCGTCCCATCTGACACATGAATATCGTTTTTTGAACCTATAATTTTTTTTAGAATACATTGATTTAAATTAGTACACAATAAATGTCATCTAAATATAAGTATATATTAACTACATTAGGTATTATTATCATTTATATTTAATTAATTATATAAAACATGAATGCATCAAACTGAAACAGTGATTTTCATTATAACAAAGAAATAAAATCAAAAGTAATCGAAAAATATATGAAATCAGTAATTTAAATTTTTTCTTTTAAATATAGCATTTTTTTAAATTTTAACCCGTATTGTAGGCCTATTCATATTTTCCTGTTTAAATGCATAATATCGCTTTTACTAACATTAATGCCGTATTCATATTTTGTAGTCAAGTCAGTTACAGTATCGTCATACAGTCATCGCTCGTTTTTTAAAATATTCACCACTGCGTACCACTGAACGAACATTAGATCCAATGCATCGTTTAAAATATAAAATAAGCTATGAACTTTTGAGACGCTGCACATACCTATACAACATTCCAAAAGGTTTTTTTTTGTTTTTTTTTCAAAAATGAACCTACCGTACAAGGTTCGATTGCATAGAAATCCACTCTTTATTAACTGTTTCTAACATTTTGTAATATCTATTTATCGATCGATCGATCAATCGATTGATTAATTGATTGATTGATTGATTGATTGATTAACTGACAGACTGACTGGTCAAATAAGTAACTGTCTAACTGACTGATTGACTGACTGACTAACTAGATGAATGAACAAATAAATAAATAAATGACCGCATGGGTGGGTGATTTACACTGATTAATTTTAGTGATTTATTGAATGTATTCTTTTCTTATGCACATTAAAAAGAAGTATACAATGTAAACGAAATAGAGCAAAACAAATTGTAGGAATAGAAACATCGCCAGTCACTGTCTGACTGACTGACTGACTGACTGATTGAATGACTGACTGACTAGATGAATGAACAAATAAATGACCGGATGGGTGGGTGATTGACACTGATTAATTTTAGTGATTTAGTGAATGTATTCTTTTCTTATGCACATTAAAAAGAAGAATACAATGTAAACGAAATAGAACAAAACAAATTGTAGGAATAGAATCATCACCCGTTTCAACGCTTTGCAGACTTGATATAAGCATATGAATAACCTCTGTATTATACTTTATGTTTAACCGCTGACTTTACGAGTATCGTAATATCACGAATAAATGATAAATGAATTATAAGTTTTGTATTATTATATATTTGTTTAAAATATAAACGAAATAAAATCATTTTAAAAATTACTCAATTATGTTCCACTTGCATCGATCAAATCATGTGCCTATTCTTAATGTTTACTGAATAGCGCAAAAGACATGTTGAACTATACACTAAACAAGAATCTTAAATCGTGTATCAATTTATATTTTTATAATATATTCTTATTATATATTAAATGTCTAGTATTGTATATGATGTTGTTAGGAAAAGTTAATCTTTTTTTATAAACCCTCTAATTCTTATTATAAACAAGTAGAATAGGTTAAAGAACACTTTAATAAATAGCCTTATTGATAAATACAGGAACAGCTACTTCATTCAGCTTACAGCTCCTTCGTGGCCTCTTAATGTTTTAATGGCGGTTTAAAATTTATCATTACTTCTCAAAAAATGTTCACAGTAAAAATTAGGAAGTCGTGCTGAATTATTTATGTACTGTAAATATTTATATTGGGAAATAATATCACTGGTGATCTGAGAGAATCGCAGATAACTGAGAATGTTTAATTTATCAAATAGTGGCTTAATTTCGGTGAAGATAAATGCATTTTAAAAATGAGCAACAACTAATTTAGTTTAGACCTGTGGCATAATACATATGAGCTGCAATACATTAAAACATGAACAACAGCTAATTTAGTTTAGGCCTATGTCATAATACATATGAGCTGTAATACATTAAAAATAAACAGCTAATTTAGTTTAGGCCTATGGCATAATACATATGAGCAGTAATACATTGAAAAATGAACAACACCTAATTTAGTTTAGATTTATGGCATAATACATATGAGCAGTAATACATTAAAAAATGAACAACACCTTATTTAGTTTAGGCCTATGGTATAATACATATGAGCAGTAATACATTAAAAAATGAACAACACCTAATTTAGTTTAGGCCTATGGTATAATACATGAGCAGTAATACATATAAAAAAAATGAGCAACAGCTAATTTAGTTTAGGCCTATGGTATAATACATATGAGCAGTAATACATTAAAAAATGCACAACACCTAATTTAGTTTAGACCTATGGTATAATACATGAACAGTAATACATATTAAAAAAAATGAGCAACAGCTAATTTAGTCTAAGCCTATGGCATACTCGGAGTAGCATGTATGTTTTGCATAGGTTTAACTCCATCGTTGTGTAATAAACATGCATTTTCTTACTTGTGCACTATCGCCTGTGTCATTGTAACTTATGCAAATATGTTAATAAAACGAAATAACATGAAATAAAATATATTATGAGATTGTTAAATATTCGTTTAAAAACTAATCTAGATTACTTATTTCATATTCTATAAATGTTGATAGATATCATATACTACTTGTAATTTGGTTTATCTTAAGAAACCAATAAATAAGTATAGACCTATGTTTAAGGATTTGGGGAAACGAATTGATCACTATCAGGAACCCAAGCTCCCAGATTTCAAAAACTCATAAACTAATATCTCTAACCTGTTAAGCCGTATCATGCATAATCACTCTAAAACCAGGGCTGGGGTATACGGTTGTATTTCCTTAATATGTTAATAAGCAGAAAAGCTAGCATTGAATTTGTAAATCCTATGCACGACGGATAATATTCAGTAGATAGAGGCTGATGCGACATCGTTATAAATCGGGTTTTTTTCATATACTATGAGATAAATCTTATACGACCATCCACAAAACGCTATAATGATTGCATCTTTTTTCTATCATTGTTCTTAATTAATGAACATTATATGAGATCATAGAATTATTTGAATACCGAGAGTAGCCGTTATCCCCGGCTCATCGTTCCCATCAATGCAGTGGATGACTTATCAAAACGATTATAAGATTTTTTAGCATCTTTGGAACAGAATGTCAATTTGAAATTAACCTAAAGCTACATTTGAAATTGTTCGGAGACAATCTTATATTCTAGGTAGATCACTTTTGAAATGGGCTTTCAATTTTAAAATACAGAGGGAAGATAATCTAATCAGTTAACTTTAGACAAATACAGTCCAGTCAAATTTAAAATCAATTTTATTAAAAAAGAGTATCTTATATTTATTACCGTTATTGTGAAAGAAGTTTCATTAGACAATACCTACACATAGGCTGAGTTGCACTGTTCGTTTGGGCTTTACTAATAAGCTGATGATGGGCCTTTGATGTTTGCTAATAGTAGTAAAATGCTCCCTAGAGTGCCGCTAGCGTAAGCCGTAGAGCTAGAAGGCTACGGATTCTCTCCACATATTATATCATCAATGCTGCCAATTCTTGTATAACCTATATTTGGCGGAAGGTCTCTGTTTTCATGTAAAAAATATCATAATGATAATTATTATTCCTTGGATTGGAGTGAGTGTGTTCACTTTGTCATACCTTCTTTTAGACAGGGGTATTGAAGTTGTATTAAGAATCCTAGGTGCTCAGTGTAGCAGTTAATAATAATCTATACAATTGGCTAGAGTTAGGTAATATGATGATGATAATAATAATAATAACAATACCAGTAATAATAACAATTAATAAGAATACCAATTAACAATAGCAATAAAAACAATATTATTATTATTATTATCATCATCATCATTATAT